CCTCAACTGCTACTGCTGCATATATATTGTACTTGTACTATCCTGCAAATTTTATTTTTTTAAAGCAATATTATTAATATTAAAACAACCATTATATATCACAAATATTATTGGCTTGCTACCACCGCCACCATCGCCACCACCGCCACCTTCGCCACCACTGCCACCACCGCCTCACTACATCAACTGCTACTGCTGCATATATATTGTACTTGTACTATCCTGCAAATTTTATTTTTTTAGAGCAATATTATTAATATTAAACAACCATTATATATCACAAATATTATTGGCTTGCTACCACCGCCACCATTGCCACCTTCGCCACCACTGCCACCACCGCCTTACTACCTCAACTGCTACTGCTGCATATATATTGTACTATCCTGCAAATTTTATTTTTTTAGAGCAATATTATTAATATTAAACAACCATTATATATCACAAATATTATTGCCTTGCTACCACCGCCACCATTGCCACCTTCGCCACCACCGCCTCACTACCTCAACTGCTACTGCTGCATATATATTGTACTATCCTGCAAATTTTATTTTTTTAGAGCAATATTATTGATATTAAAACAACCATCATATATCACAAATATTATTATATATACATACATACATACATACATATATATTATATATACATACATACATACATACATACATACATACATACATACATATCTTGTACTAGCCTTCCATTTGTACTGAATCTTTATAATAGAGTAATAACCTTTATAAATCAGCAATATCAATGCATTGCTAGGTCGACCATAGCTTCCACTTGCATTAAACTCATATGTCCCAAATGCAATATGTCCCAGAGTGTATTAAATGTAATTATGTTGATATCAAACTGTATGACGATTCGTTTTCACTATTATTGTACCATTTTTAGTAATAAATTAATATTTAATGTGTTAAGTTAATGTTTGAATAAGCTTTTATCAGAAATCAATATGATTGGCCGACCACCACGACCACCACATTACACCTATGAACCAATCAGCAACAACCTTTGAAACAGTGCCACCTCACTCCCTTAAAGGAGGGAGATATGTTATACACGGAAATAATACTAGAATTATGAACGGGTATTGCACGTGATGCTCACATGAGAGTACACAATGAACAATTGATGAACAATGCACAATAGCATAATTTAATTAAGATGAGACAATGTGTATGACACTGTTAGGAAACAGTCTCTTAGTGATTTAACTGTAGTGAGAGCGTTTGCATCTATATCAAAAGCTACGCACAGGTCGCACGATATTCTAAATATATATGTGACAAAAATAAACCTTGTTGTTGGTCTCGGTGATATCGATAATCTTCTGTTGAGCTATTACCCCTACGGCCCCGAAGATCCTGCAGCTGTATTGGTCAGAATATAACCGAGAAAAGGGGTCGTGTAACATTTGTCTGATGCCAGGTAAGTTTGCTTGTTAATACTTTTTTGCATGAATTGGTTTATCCAGCCTATGAAAGAATACTCCTGAGTAATAAAATAATCTTACATTAGATAGTATGAGTAAATAACAATATAGTGTACATATTTAACAGCGGATTGCAGCTTAATTTAATATGTTTAATTAATAATTTTAACTTGCATGCACTAATCAGAAATTTATTTTAGCATGCCAATTTGCTATTTCAACATGCATTCCTTCCAGCCGATTATCTGGAGTAAACCGATTTTTCAATAATAGTACGTTGACAGTTGACAGTTGACAGCACGCCCAACAGTATGTTGGTCTTCCATCATTCCAGTTTTATGGTAACCATTTGAACTTTTTTGTATGCATGTGGGTGGTGCATATGCAAATGGCGAAGAACATAGAAAATTATTCGAAGACAGTCCTGCATTAATATAAATGAAACCTGTATAAATGTGTTACCATATATATGTCATAAATACGTGAAAAAGGGAAAAACACCTGCATTTTTTTCAAAACATTTTGAAACAATGATAAACAACGGACAGGAAAACTTCGTCCGGCAGACATCACTTGACTTCACTTATAACATTGTCTTTGTCCCTTATAGTATAGTTTGAATTTTTCAAGGGGAAAACAATTAGCCTAGCGGAAATTAAAGCTCTGCAGAATTGAAACGCTATTTCAAAATTCGCAGTACTCGTGATGAAAAAATGATTAATCGTCTTATCGCGAAATAACGAGGCCAAATTGCAAAAGCACATAGTTGATTATTGTCCATAGATATGCTAAAACATATTAGATATTTATTAAGAAAATACATGAAACAAATATTTAGACGTTCATGCATGCATGCATTCATCACAAAATTTGTTAGCACTATTTTACACTCTTAGCACAAGTACAATGTGTTAATTAACCGAATAATTATTATCATGTGTCATATATACGTGTTCATAATAATGTTAAACACGTCACTGACGCTTGTTGGTCTGTTTGGAATTTTTTGGCAACATTTAATTTCTTTATATAAAAACCTGATATATGTTATTCGATTCATTAAATCTTTGTTGTGTATATTCACATTTATCATAGAACTTCAATCAACAGGGGTTTATCTACTCGGCGTTTCGCGATAAGAAAACATCCATGTAGGCCTACAGAAAAAAACATTTCCCTATCATAACATGTCTTTTCATTGATGCTAAAAATTAATATAAAAAATTCCTGAGGAATTGAAATTCCAATGTCGGCGGGGGATCGTTGTGATGACGATTGCTTAATTGCTCTTTGTCTACAGAACTGTCTTCAGATCCGCTCATTATACCAGTTTGTCGAGAACATTGTGCTTGGCTCTATTTTCTTCAAGACAGCGACGGTGACTGAAGGTAAGTAATAAAAATGTGACGGATATTTTCCACGTCTCTCAGTGGCAATATATGTGTCTGTTTAGCTTGCTAATTTCAATATGTAATACTGATTTGTGAGTGTTCTATATTCTGACAATCACTATAAGCGCAGCTTTTCATGCTCAATAAATTCGGTATTCACTTTACTGCAATTCGCAAATACCTGTAAAAATAAGAGTAGGAATACTCGTAATCTTACTGTTAACTTCATATGATTTTTAACGGTTGCCTTCGAAAGGAAATGGAAAGATCAATCAAGAAGAAAATCACGTATTTCGTTTGCTCTTAAGCGTTCGGATAATGGACATGTTTTAGCAAGCTTTTTTTCTTTTCGTATAGTGGAATATTTAAAAGGACGTAACATCATTTAACTCACCAGGAAAGATAGAAATTTTCTACCTAGGCCTACCGTGCAATGTCACATATATGACGGTCAAAAGCTTCAAACAACGAACCTTTCCGAACGAACGCTCGAGCTTGAAATTATTTAACAAATAATGTGAATTTCAGAAACGACGCATACTGTAGGCTAGAGCTTTAAAAATATAGGTTATGGTCGATTATGAAACGATCAGCTTCAAGTCGTTTGGTACTGGTCCTCTTGGAATTCTGGCTACGGTCTATAATACAGCTTATACAGTAAGTCTAAATAGCTAAAAATCCAGATATATGGATATCGAGAAAATATATGGAGAAAAAGTTCTTATCGAGAAAATATGAGGAGAAAAAGAGAATGAAAGTTCTCAAGATTGAAATATACTTTTGCTGAGCTTTCGTGAACTGAACTGACCACCGCAAGTACGTATGTTAAAAAAACAAAGACGTTTAACATGTGATTAATTAGAAAACATGTTAATTGCCTTCTGTACTTTGTAAAGAGGAACAATTTTTCAAGTGCCATCCACTTGTAAATCAATTTTGTCAATTGAAATAAGTTCTAACCTTCAGGGCCCCTTCAGGCCAAAATATCTCATGAGTGCAACAGATATATATCCCACAAGTGTACATGCTTTCTGTTCGGCAGACGATTAATCTATGGATTAAAGCAAATTACAAGTTTAACTGGAAAATACACGCATGCAGAGACCTTCGCTTTGCTGGCAAATCATTATATATTCCGAACACGATATACTTAAAGTAGTTGTCTTGGTTACACGATAGTTTTACAAAGAATATCTTTAGGATTAAAACATGTCTTAAAAATATCACTTTTAATTACAAAATTATCCATTACCTAACCACATATATGTTAGGTATGTTATGATCCTACATTACGTAACATGAGCGTTTCAATTAAATATAAAATTCAACCACAAACTTTTCGCAAAATGATTTAAATTTAAAGTTTGTTCATCCACGGCAACCAGGTGTATCAATAATGTTTTCGTCGCTACTCCGCTTTAAATAAATGAATACAAAGCCCAGTCGAATTGTAATCAAGATCCAACGTTTAGACACTTCAGTCTCATGCCTCCATCAGGGGTGACCTAAAGTTGCAATGTAACATGCTTAAATGCCCAAGTGATGACGTCATCTGCTAATAGATGCTTGTATTCATCTGATAAATATATAGTCACCGTTATCCCAATTCAAAGCATGATTATATACCAATATAATATGCCACGCTTCTAGGCATCGTATTTGACCATAGCGATTCTTTGTGGTAACTACTTTAGTATTACCCCCTTGTTTAAATCTGAAACAGCTTTTTTATGTTCTCTTAGCCGTGTACCAAACTGGCGTTTAGACTGACCCAAATACTCTTTAATTTCTTCCAGTCGTCGCATGGTATATAGCATATATAACACGAGTATTCTGATTTGTTTTAACAGGGTCTTTCGGCTTTGCGAAAAATATATGGCCGAAAGTCAAATAGGGTTTCAAGGCAACCTTAACATTACAGACACTTAAGATTCTCTTGGTTGGTTCAGTGAAACCTCGAATGTAGGGAACTATTGCATAACACTTTGGCAGAGGTATCACTCTCTGCGCAATTTTAATTTGGTTCTTACTAACAGGTTGTCTCAGGCAGAGAAAACTTTTTTGGTAATACTTCACCCCTAAAACAATTAGTACACATTCAGTTTCATTAGCTTCAGAATCACTGTTTGACGGCAAGTATTCAACTCTTTGAAGTACAGTTTTTGCTACGGTTTTTTTATGGCCCACTGTTTGACGAGAGGTGTATGACAAATACACTGTAGTTGTCTGTTTTTGTGGGCACAAGCATAAATCACGGGAGATTTGGAGCAATTGCCGGAAATGTGGCTCACCCCTCCCAAAGTTTAAAATAGACAGTTTTGTCGGGCAAAACACAGCACTTCGTCGGGCGAAAAACAAACGGTTGTGTTTTAGTCTTGAAGAGAACTAAACTTTTAGGAAATTAACGGTAATGATACGACATTACGATGCTAGCAAATATATTATAAATAACAAAAAGAAGTACTGGCATTTGGCCTTTCATTACGTGGGCTCAGTGCACAAATCAAACACGTTCTTCTCTCTGTTACCTGCTTAATCTGCGTAAATATATATCAACTACCGGTATCTGTTTACTGTTAACCTGCTTCTGGTCTGTTTGAGCAACATAATATATGCCACACAACTTTGGATACGGCCTGTTTTCTTACCAATGGAGGGTAAGGTATGATGTTTAATTAGCGATCGACCATTCAATCATTTTTAAAATCTGCATTTGAATATTAGCAGATTTACATATCTTCCATTGGTGAATCAAATTGTCTGGAAAAACTGGAAATCAATTTATAATGTAAACTACACAAGGTTGGTAAAGAAAAGAAACCCGGAGACGAAATACTTTAAAGCATAATATTAATTTACTATAAACCTCGCTTGCTGTGGCAGCGATAACTTAACTTTCCGCACCACGCAAAGTTGGGCCTCCGACTAAAAAATTGAAAACAA